CAATGCACAGAAATCAGTTGCATTTCTCTACACCAACAACAAGACAGAAGAAAGAAATTAAGGAGTCAATCCCATTTACAATTGCACCCAAAACTATAAGATACCTAGGAATAAACCTAACCAAAGAGGTTAAGAATCTATACACAGAAAACTATAAAGTACTCATGAAAAAAATTGAGGAAGACAAAAAGAAATGGAAAAATGTTCCATGCTCCTGGATTGGAAGAATAAATATTGTGAAAATGTCCATGCTACCTAAAGCAATCTACACATTTAATGCAATTCCTATCAAACTACCATCCATTTTTTTCAAAGAAATGGAACAAATAATGCTAAAATTTATATGGAACCAGAAAAGACCTCGAATAGCCAAAGGAATATTGAAAAAGAAAGCCAAAGTTGGTGGCATCACAATTCCGGACTTCAAGCTCTATTACAAAGCTGTCATTATCAAGACAGCATGGTACTGGCACAAAAACAGACCCATAGGTCAATGGAACAGAATAGAGAGCCCAGAAGTAGACCCTCAACTCTATGGTCAACTAATCTTTGACAAAGCAGGAAAGAATGCCCAATGGAAAAAAGACAGCCTCTTCAATAAATGGTGTTGGGAAAATTGGACAGCCACATGCAGAAAAATGAAATTGGACCATTTCCTTACACCACGCATGAAAATAGACTCAAAATGGATGAAGGACCTCAGTGTGAGAAAGGAATCCATCAACATCCTTGAGGAGAACACAGGCAGCAACCTCTTCGACCTCAGCCGCAGCAACTTCTTCCTAGGAACATCGCCAAAGGCAAGGGAAGCAAGGCCAAAAATGAACTATTGGGATTTTATCAAGATCAAAAGCTTTTGCACAGCAAGGGAAACAGTTAACAAAACCAAAAGACAACTGACAGAATGGGAGAAGATATTTGCAAACGACATATCAGTTAAAGGGTTAGTGTCCAAAATCTATAAAGAACTTCGCAAACTCAACACCCAAAGAACAAATAATCCAATCAAGAAATGGGCAGAAGACATGAACAGACATTTCTGCAAAGAAGACATCCAGATGGCCAACAGACACATGAAAAAGTGCTCCATATCACTCGGCATCAGGGAAATACAAATCAAAACCACAATGAGATATCACCTCACACCAGTCAGAATGGCTAAAATTAACAAGTCAGGAAATGACAGATGCTGGTGAGGATGTGGAGAAAGGGGGACCCTCCTACACTGTTGGTGGGAATGCAAGCTGGTGCAAGCTGGAAAACAGCATGGAGGTTCCTCAAAATGTTGAAAATAGAACTACCCTATGACCCAGCAATTGCACTGCTGGTTATTTACCCTAAAGATACAAACGTAGTGATCTGAAGGTGCACGTGCACCCGAATGTTTATAGCAGCAGTGTCTACAATAGCCAAACTATGGAAAGAACCTAGGTGTCCATCAACAGACAAATGGATAAAGAAGATGTGGTATATATACACAATGGAATACTATGCAGCCATCAAAAGAAATGAAATCTTGCCATTTGCGACGATGTGGATGGAACTAGAGGGTATCATGCTTAGCGAAATAAGTCAATCGGAGAAAGACAACTATCATATGATCTCCCTGATATGAGGGAGAGGAGATGCAACGTGGGGGGTTAAGGGGGTAGGAGAAGAGTAAATGAAACAAGATGGGATTGGGAGGGAGATAAATCATAAGTGACTCTTAATCTCACAAAACAAACTGAGGGTTGCTGGGGGGAGGGGTGTTGGGGGGGTGGGGTTATGGACATTGGGGAGGGTATGTGCTATGGTGAGTGCTGTGAAGTGTGTAAACCTGGCGATTCACAGACCTGTACCCCTGGGGGTAAAAATATATGTTTATAAAAAATAAAATTAAAAAAATAAATAAATAAACACAAGTGATTAGACTTATTTCCCAGCTGAAAAGTTCCTATCTTCTAGAAAGCCAGTTAATATTGTCCTAAAGTATCTATTTTAGCTGGAAAGAAATGCAAATAATAGTTCATGCGATCTTAGAGAAACTTCCCATTTTATTGTGAGGAAGTGTACTATGAAGTAGTGGAAAATGTGTGTGTGGTGTGTGTGTGTGTGTATGTAATCCTTTCATTTGTGTAATTGTGATGGCTACTGTCTTTTAGCTTAAATACTGGCTATGACTTGTGTTTTAAAGAAGAGCCCACTTCTGTTGAGATAAAATGTAAATTACGTGTACTTTCCAGGGAGGGAGCATTTAATAATAGATGAATATTGTCTTCATGTAAGTGCTGCCGTACTTGTAAGTGCTCAAAACATAATTTTGAAGTTCTTATATCATGACAGCCTGAAGCATTTGAAAGAACTGTGTTCTTCAAAGCCTCTGCTCCGTGGTCACACTGGCACCTTCAGCTTTGCCTCTCCTGGCACCAAGACAGCTTCTTGATCCTCCTTTTTGTTCCTTCTGGTTTGTTTTGTTTTGTTTTAAGTTTTTATTTTAATTCTAGTTAGTTAACATGCAGCATTTGTTACACGAGTTTCTGGTGTGTGATGCAGTGGCCCCTCCCACTTGAAATCTGTCCTGTGAGGCATCCCCCACTGTCCTTCTGTAGCTATAGAGCCATTGACTTTGCTGCATGGTGCTTAGGTTTTGAAGCCACAGGTCCGATTTCCTGTGCAGTTGTAAGTATTTTATACCGATCCAGTGTAGAGTGCCATGGTCAGCACATCTTAGTTAAATTTATGAAGAACCTTTTTTTTTTTTTTTAAGATTTTATTTATTTTTCAGAGAGAGAGCACAAGCGGGCAGAGACAGAGAGGCAGGCTCCCTGCTGAGCAAGGAGCCAGAAACGGGTTCCGTGTGTGTGTGTGTGTGTGTGTGTGTGTGTGTGTGTGTGTGTGTGTAAATATATATAAATAAGTAAATATAAATTTATATATATATATATTATAGATACATATATTTTAGGACCCTGGCATCATGACTTGAGCCAAAGGCAGTGGCTTAACCGACTAAGCCACCCAGGTGTCCCAAGAACTTATTTTTAAATTCCAAGACTAATTTATGTTGGTTTGCTCTGCCATTTTTGTTGCTTAGCACACTCAGCCAGCCCAGCTCTATGAAGTCCTGCAGTCTGGGCTTGCCGGGACTCCTCTGAGCTGCCCTTGTGCTGCACAGGGCGGTGCTGGGGTAGGGGTGGCCCCGGGGTGCACGTCTCTGGACATCTCTGGTTCACTTACTGGGATCGGAAGAGTCAGAATGTGGAAAACAGAGTACCCGCGTTGTCTGCCTGTCATACCACAAAGCCTGTGTCTCATACAATGGAGCAGGGTCACACCTTACATGTTTTTCATTGATCCAAACTATTGGAGTAATTTACCGATCCCCTGTAGATAGGGAGACTTGGAGATTTTAAAGAATACTTTACTTTCTCTGCCTTTTCTTTTTTTTTAATTTACCATTTTCTGTCTGTGAGCTACTGTATCCTTGAGCATTTTTTTGTTTTGTTTTGTTTTTTTCTTTACCTTTTGTATTTCCCACCAATGACCATACCCTCCCCAATGCTGGTGGCCTTTTCTCACTCTTCCTCTCTGATTTGGCCTAAATGACAACCCATTTCTTTTAGTCTCAGCCGTGCTGGGTCTTCTCTGGTTTCCTTCTGCTTCTCAGGATTGGTGCTGGGGTTCTCTGGTGCCTCGAAGGTGTGACTGTTGGTAGCTCTCCGCTCTCAGGCAAGCTTTGGCCCCTTTGAGTTCTGAGTTCAAGTCTGTCAGTTGCAGTCTTCAGCTGCACTCAAGAGAGTTCCTCTTGAGTCTGTCCATGATGTTGATGGGTCCCATTCTCCCTCGCTGTTGGCAGACCCCTCCACTCACTAAACCTCTCTCTGTCCCTCCCTGACACTTGGTCACCCATAGCCTGTCTCTATTATTTCTTCGCAATGTCTGTGATTCCTTTGCCTGCTTTCTAGGGTGGAAACTTGAGGAAATCTTAGATATTTCCCTTTCTTACTATACTAATCCTTCATTTCTTTGATCTGGTCATTTCTTTGAAATGCCCATCAGAGTTGTTTTCCTTTTCCCTATCCCTCATGAACATGACAGTGCTTCATGATCTCTGTCCTTGCTGCTTTGGTCAGCCTTTCCCCAGTGGTCTCCCACTTAACCACCTTATCTCTCTCAGCCCCCTGCACTGCACTGCATGCCAACAGCTCACCTAGCCTTTCTGGAGGACTTTCTTACCCTGCGGAGTATTGCCCACATCTGCACAGTACCCTGTTGGCTCCCCCACTCAGTGCCTTGGTCATTTCTGTGGTCTTGCTGCAGTTCACAGCTCCCTAAACCAGTAATGGCTCATAGCATCCCAAAGTGGGTCACTTCTGCCAGCATCAGGGGCTCTGACACCGCCTGGTGAGTGGGAAGGCTGCAGAAAAAAACAGATGGAAAGCTCTACGAGAACAGGCTTTCCATATTCTGTCATTTTTTTGGGACTAAGGCACAGTCATACAGAGGAAGCTCCTTTACTTCTCTCTGATGTTGCCGCCTCACAGATTCCAGACTGATGACATTAGAGTTTTGTGGGAATGTGGTGGTTATTTGTATTAGAAGACATACTAGGATTTGATAACTTTCTCAGATTTGACAGTTGAATCATTGGGAGCTGCTTATGCAAATAAATATGCATATTCACTTTTTTCAGCTCGCTTTGAGAATTTGCCCCCTGCGGAGAGCATGAACAGGGCAGAGGGAGGGGTGGAAGGAGACAGAATCTTAAGCAGGCTCCATGAGCAACGTAGAGCTGGATGCGGGGCTCAGTCTCACAACCCTGTCACAACCTGAGCCACAATCAAGGGTTGCATGTTTAACCACATCTGCCACCCAGGTGCCCCAGGAGTTTGTTTTTTGTTCTTGATCATTTTTGGTCAAGAAGGAATGGAGTTTAAAAGTAGTTGATTAATGGAATTACAATATGAAAAATAATTACTTATTTTACTAAGTCGTGTTTTTTGTTTTCTTTTTTGAAGCTTTAATTCCGGACACTCCAGAGATCTTGAATTTGTCTGCTGATTTCTCAACTTCCACATTACACCTAAAGTGGAATGACAGGGGTTCTGTTTTTCCACATCACTTAAACGTCATCTGGGAAATTAAAATTCTACGTAAAGAAAATAAGGAAGTCATAAAATTAGTAAGTTTAAACCAAAATAGATTTTTTTTCCTGTGATACTAAAGAAGCCAAGTAATTTTTAAAAGATTTTAAGGTGATAATCAGTGAACTCTTACATTGTTAAGGATATAGATCAGATATCCTTTCAGGGTTCATTAAAAACTACGTGCTGTTACTCAAATCACATACTAAAATAATGTATAACTTAAAATAACATACAACTTATTAATTATAGTAAATTTAGGAAATTAAGGGAATAATCCATGATTCTACCTCTTGACCACAGTAAATGTTATTTTTGTGTTTCTGTCCAGCCTTTTTATGTGCATGTTTTTATGTAAATGAAATAAATGTATACATAAAATGTATTATTTAATTTTGGCTAATACTATAAACATAAAAGTGTTTGAAACATAGTTATAGTAATTGTTGAGAAATTTTAAGGTTAAATTTATCTGAATCTGAAACAACGTTTTTACATTTAATAATACATTTTTTTCCTCTTTTTAAAATTTTGTTGGTAAATGGTTCCTTATATAATCTGTCTTTAGTTTCCTCTTAATCTAAAGGAGAATGAGGAATAGTAGTGAGAAGTTTTGACAGTGGGTGTGTGGGAATTCCCTCTTTTGTCCTTTTTTCCTCAGTGGATTTGAATATGCTTAGTTATAGATTTAAGAATTAGAGGACTAGCTCATGATTTTACAGTTATTTGCCTAAGTACATAGATAAGCTAGATTGTAAAGATAAAGAATTACTCTCTAATGGTGGTTGTCATGGTGTTCCTTTCTGACTCTGTGTGTATTAGCTTCCTAAGTTAGCAGCGGCCATAGCTGTAGCTTCGGGCGTTGGTGCGTCCGTGTTGCTGCTGACAGTGCTCTAAATGCTCCATGTGTGGTTCTCTGCATTCTCACCACAGACCCCTGAGGGAGGCACCAGGGGTCTGAGCCTTTTTTTTTTTTTAAACTTTATTCACTTTATTTATATATTTAACAGTTCTAAAGTATTTACTTCCTGCTTTGACAAAAAATGAAAAATATAGGAGCACTGACTGACTCCTCTTTAGGAGAAAAGGGTTATATGTACAACTATGGAGAGTTATGGTTCCTCCTTTACATACAAAGAAAACTATTAATAAAAAAGTGCTTCATTGATTGAAAAGGGCTAAGAGCTGCAAGCATTTATTCACACTGTACATCAGACCCAAGATCTTCATCTCCATTTTCGAGATGAAGCTCCAGAGAAACTGGAAGACAGGAAGTAGTGGGGCCAGGACCCAGAGTTACAGTCTGTGCTCTTTCTTAACCATTACAGTTTCTGTTACAAAATAGATATGTTTATTTTTGTGTAAGATACCTTTCCTTCCTTTGCACCTCTGCTAATTGAATGTATACTTCAAGACTTGAGTCAAATTCTACCCCTCATTTTAAAGCCCATCCTAATTACCTCAGCCTAAAATGCTCTTTCTTTTCTTGAGTTGTAATGGCAGTTCTTTCCTGTCAGCCTAATTTGCAAGTAGCTTTGATAGAGCTCTACCTTGTTGTCTTGAAACTATTGCTTATCTAAAATTGGACCGTGTAGCTCTTTATGATGGCTGACATATTGTGCTGGGTGAGTTACCTATTACTGGCTTTGGGTAACTTCCCAAAACCTCCTTTTTCTCATTTGTAAAGTGGTGCAAAGTATCTACCTCAGTAAACGATAACGGTACCTGTAAAGCTGCTGAATGCCTACTAGTTGTCAGTATTTCCTTTAGGGGCTACTCTTTGAAGTGTAAGTGAAATCCAGCGTAAGTGAATGGAAATTCCGTTTTCAGGGTCCTATTAACTCATTGCCACAAGATGCATCACAAGATGGCAACGGCAGAGTAGGATCCAATCTCTGAAGAAAAATCTTTGTATGGGGAAATAACAGCCAAGAGCCCAGAAAAACAGAGATAGAACAAATGAATTTTTAAAAAGTGAAACGTGAGAGGGCAAGTGATGCAGATCTGTAGTAAAATGTGACCCTTCTTTTTATATGTTATCAGTATCATTTGAGGCAGAGCTGCTTATGCCTTGTCACTTCAGTATTATTTTGTGGTTGTGTAAGAATAAAGAATACTGTACATTGGTGTTTCAATTAGAACATGATGGTTTCTGCTCTTGGCCTCACGTACGGGTAAGGAAGCTGGGCGCTATGGGGACCAGGGTGGTTGTGATACCCGGGATCTCTGCCGCACCCCCAGCCCCTCCCATTTTACTTTTCCAGTAAACAGCAGGTTTCAGTTCTTCTAGCTGATTCTTCTGTTATGTATTTCTGTTGTCCAGGTAGCGTGCTTATGTTGTTCTTCCTCAATTTTTCTTTACAGTTTTGAGCAATGTTTTATTTTAACAGTCGGAGATGAGAATTTCATCCTGTCACCTCCTGGCCTGGGAGCACACATGTGCATGCTGGAGTGCTCACTCGCACTCTGTTCCTGTCTCTCTCTGTCCCTGTCTCTCTCTTGCATTTCCCATCCTTTTTCCAGTATTGTTCTATTACACTGTGGTAATGTGTGGCAGACTGGCATTCATTATTTGTGTTACGGTTATATAAACACTATCCACAGCTAAACCAAGCAGCATATACCACTATTTTCCTTTTTGGAGGTACAACTTCTTGTCATATGGTCTTGTATTTTCAGTTTAATTTGTGTGCCCCATTAATTTAATCCTTTGTAATCTCCAAGTTGTATGAATCTCCTGCTGAAGTGTTCAGAGACACTGGTATCGTATCGGCTGTATGTTTGTGAATAGCTCTCTCGGAGGCCTTCTGACTTACTTCTCAACCCTGCTTACATAGGGTTCACACAGGTACAGTGTTCGTGTAGCAGGAGTGTGGTAGAAAGCAGAGGACCCTTGTGGCCAGAGGTTTCTCAGGAGCTGCAGCACCTAGGTACACTCACAAGTCATTTAGGATAAACCTCTGTGGGTTTTTTTGGCACATTTCTTAGGAAGTTGTTGTCCAAGGGGTCTCCATTATCATCTAGGGGATTCCTTTTACCTTTTCTTGCAATGGATCCCCCCTTTTTTTTTAACCCACTGAGCCACCCAGGTACCCTGTCTTGTAGTGGATCCCCTTTTTAAAAAATTTTTTCCTCTTCCTCATTTTGGTGGAAGCATATATTCTAGTAGGTATTTGCTATTTATTGTCGATACTGTCTGCTGCCTTTAATGGTAACTTGCAGATACACTATTTTTTAAATTTAAATTGGATGCCAGCAAAATTTGTAAGACTGTTGATTCCAAATTTTGAGAAGAGGCAGAACAATTGGAACTTTCATACATTTCTGATGGGAGTGTGAAATACTGCCTGATGAATTAATTAAGACATGACATTTCTGAAAGTGTCTATTTTGCACTCACTCATGATTTCTACTTTAGCTGGGTATAGAATTGTAGGTTAGGGGATTTTCTCAAGATTTGGAAGACATTGTTCATTTGTTCTTGTGGATCTGTCTTTCTTTGTCATTGGCCCCTTTGTCATTGGGCCCCTTTCAGTCTGAAAACACATGTTTCTCAGCTTGGGGAATCACCTTATTGTAGGTCTTACGGCTTTGATTCCTTCATAACTGTTTTCTCCTTTTTTTTTTTTTTTTTTTTTTCCTTAGAAACTCTTTTCTTCAGAAGTTGGACCTTCTAGGCTGGTCCTCTAATGTTCTTAATTGTTTCCACTTTCCATCTGTAATTTTATTTTGCTCTGTTTTCTTAACAGTTTTTCTTAAACATTATCTTGCATTCCTGCTATTGAATTTTTTGCATTTTTTATTAATAAATTTTTTTTAATGTACGCGAGATCCCGTTTGTCTCTCCTTTTTGTTCATTATATGGATGCAGTATCTCATCTCTGAGGATAGCAGTTATTTTTTTATTTCTTTTAGCGGAGTCAGTTTCTTCGAGTTCCTTTCTTATTTTATCTTTAACTCTGATATTAGAACTTTTTATCCAATTTCTGGTCATCCTGGTTGCTGCTCATATTAAGTGAGTGGCTCTTAATTTTTTTTTTAATCTAATTGGAACTTTTGTGTGTCATCCAGGGACTTTAGTTGACTAGGGCTTCATCATAGGTGATTAAGATGGCCTCAAGTTGGCACAACCTTAATGTTATTCTTTCAGATTTTTATCACGAGCTGTTCATATGCCCCAGAAAAATCGATTCAGATCCCTGCCTTGTAAGTAGCAACTCTGCCATCTGTATCCTGGGGGCTGAGTAGGAGAAGGAGGCAGGAGCACCCAAGCCTTCCTAGTGCATAGGTTAGCAAGTCCCTTGTTTTTGGTACAGTATTCCCCGTTCTCCACTCTTTCTGAGGTTCTTCATTCCAGAGGTGTTCTGTTTTACTTTTCAGATCATAAATCTCCATTCTGCCAAGATGAAGAAGGGTGGTCTTTCAGTAGCATAGAATGTGGGAGGGATCTCTGGGTGTCTAATGTCTCTTTGAAAAGCTTTCAAGCAGTCTTCTGTTTGGTGCCTCACCTTCACCATGCACTTCCATGGGAGCCTGGTACAGCCTCTTCCTGGGCCCTTCGGCATTTCTGTGATAGAAATCAGGTTGTTTTCAGCGTTTTCCATTGGGGGCTTAACATTCAGCATTTTCAGGTCTTCAGAATCCATTACTATTGTCATTCAGCTCTCCAGGATCCAGAAATTCATTGATACTGTTTCTTCTTCTTCTTTCTTCTTTCTTCTTTCTTCTTTCTTCTTTCTTTTTCTTCTTCTTCTTCTTCTTCTTCTCTTTTTTTGGCTCTGTGCATCTATGCCTTAAAAAAAAAATCTGTGTACTTTTGTTTTAGAAAGATTTCAGAAGAGAGAAGGAAGTACAGTTATTTAATCTGTTGTCTTTAGCTGGAGCTCCCAAGGTTTCTTTTAGTAGCTCCTTGATATTTGATTGAAATCCTTCCATTTTTCACAGTTGAGATTAATATTTTATCCTATTATATGCTGCATATTTAAAAATAAAGTTTTAAACAGTTAACACATATAAAACCTAATCTGAAACAGTTACTTTGTTGAAATGCTGCTCCTTTCTTGGACTTTAATTCTTGGGAGTACAAACCCATTAATTACTTTTTTCTCGACGAAAAATGGAGATCAGTTTTGGCAATGGTTCATTTCTCTCAGAACTGTATTGAATGTTCTGGAGTATTAACATCCTGTATATCAGGGAGCAGAGCCTCAAGCTGAGGAAGGTGGACCGGTCACAACGAACACTGGTGTATGCAAATGTTGGGTCATTATGTAGTACACCTGAGGCTAATAGTACACTGTATGTTGACTATACTGGAATTTTAAAAAAAGAGGTAAACAAATGAATCATGATTATTGTCCCCGTAACTCTCCTTTTACGCCTAATAGAAAACTGAGATGGTTGTACAAAAAGGCGAGCCTTTATAGCTTAGTGGTTGTATACTGTCTACTGTGTTCTTTAAAGGGAAGCAGAACATATCACTACTTAGAAATCTCATTTTGTGTTTGTGTTCATTTTTTAGGTGACCCACAACACAACTGTGAATGGTAAAGATACAGTTCACCACTGGAGTTGGACCTCAGACATGCCCTTGGAGTGCACCACTCATTCTGTGGGAATTAGGTGCTATGTTGACGATCTTCATTTCTCTGGTCCCAAAGAGTGGAGTGACTGGAGCCCACTGAAGAACATTTCTTGTAAGCTTCTGTTTAAAAAGCTTTCGTTTCAAATGAACGAGATTAGTCTTGCTTAAGGGTAAGGTTTTGGTTAAGCTTTCAGTTCTCCAAATGCCATTTGGCTTCATGAGGGTCACCTGGGGATCTCCCAGATCTCTGTCCCAGAACATTTTGATTAAAAAACTCTTGAGTTAGGATTCAGGAATCTGTATTTTTAAAGATCTTCCAAAGTGATTACATAACCATCCAGGTTTGAAAATCACTGTGGTAGGTGTTGAAGAACATTTAAAAATTTTATGTAGGTGTAATTGAGATCAAATCTATATTTAAAAAAAAAAATGGCTTCTAGTTTCTTGCCCACAGAACAGATCCCTGTGAGCTGAAGAATTAATTGCAGAGAACATGATCTCTAAGGATACCTGAAATCATCTATACGTTGAATGAAATTCATATGCAGGTAGAATGTTGGCAACATGAGACAGGCCTGGAAAATAGTTGACAGTGAAATGAAGTCCTTCAAAAGGCTGATTATTATTATAGATTATCCACTCTAGTGACCGCATGGAGAAATGGATCAGAGGAAGGCAGGACTGGAAGCACGTGGATAAGCAAGAAGGATCTTGTTGTGGTTCAACAAAAGACAGTGGAAGCATAAAGTAGGGTACTTGGGTCTGGAAATGAAAAGGTGGGAAAGGTGTGAAAACACTGAAGGGACAGAATTAAAATTAGTTGACTGTGTATTTGGTAACGAAGAAATAGAGTCAAAGATGACTATTAGTTTGGGCAGCTGAGTGGCTGGTGATGCCTTCCACTGAGACAGGAAATACATGAATAACTTGTGGGAAAGATAAATTCATTTTTAACATGTTGAGCTTGAGGTATTGTGAAGTATCTGGGTAGGGATGTCTCAGGCAGTGGGAAATACCAGTCTGGTATCCAAGGGATTACTAGGAGCCAGAGATACATATCTGAGAGTCATCAACATAGATGTATGTGAAATTGTTTCAATCTAGAGGTTACCATACTCAGGGAAAGAGAAATGGGGACCAGGGACACATGCCTTACAAGCTTGTACTGTCTAAGGGTAGGACGGAAGAAAAAAGAGGCAGCAAAGTGGAGAACAGTAGCCAGAGGGTTCAGAGTAGCCCAGGAGAGTAGGGCGCTGTAGAACCCAAGAGAAGAAGGGAGTTTTGAGATGTTAGAACTTGGGCAACTTGCCCGATGCTGTCAATGTGGGAAGGAAGGGTGGCTGAGAAGTGGCCACTGGACTGAGCAAAGAGGTCAGCGAGCCACTCCAGTAGAATGGTTGGGCTAGAAGCCAGATTGTGGTAGATTAAATAGTAGTAGGTAGAAAGAAAACTAGAGATAATGATAAGATCGGACATACAGGAAAATAAAAGCAGAGATGTGGCTTTAACCTGCACAGAATTGGGGTTAAAGAAAAAGTGCTGTTTAGGATGGGAGTACTTAAATATATATTCTGGCTGATGGAAAGTAAGAAGTCTTCCCTAAATACATAGAAGTCATTTCAAAGGAATAGAATTATTTAATGAGTGACTTTTTCTTGGTGTAGATTTTTCACATGTAGCTATAAGCCCATTTAGAGTGAACTTTCAGACTTCTTAGATACTAACCTGTGACCTTGGGCATCGGCCTGCAGTCCCCTCCATTCCCCCCATCATCAGCCGTAAGTCGATAAAACATACATGGTTTCATTTTATTTATATATGTCTTGCTCTTTTGAAAGCTCCTTTGGGCCACCATTACTATAAAACACTTTATAGTATATTTTATATATACTGGGCTATTTTTATGGTAAAAGACTTATAAAATATTTGTGATTCCTTTTGTTCTCTATAGGGTCACCTGATTCCCAGACTAAGGTTTTTCCTCAAGACAAAGTGATACTTGTAGGCTCTGATATAATATTTTGTTGTGTGACTAAAGAAAAAGTGTTATCAGCACAGATTGGCCAAACAAATTGTCCCCTTATCCATCTTGATGGGGAAAATGTGGCGATCAAGATCCGTAATATTTCTGTTTCTGCTAATAGTGGAACAAATGTGGTTTTTACAACAGAAGATAACATATTTGGGACTGTTATTTTCGCAGGATGTAAGTATTTAATATTAAAGAGTTCCTGTTGATCTGTTTTGCTCCTCTTTAAAAACTTTAATGCTATTTCTGGGGAATGGGCAGTCTTTTTTTTTTTTAAATATGAAGACACCAAAATTTTTGCCTGTTTTACATATATTTGTATTTATGTAGCTTGTGTGATAAGATTGGAAACATCCAGCTGCTTAGTTTTAAGTTCTTATTTAACAGTTTTGTTGAGTCAAGGGTAGTTTTTATATATTTCTTAATCCTACATTGCTTAGGAATTATTTCATACATAGTTGACTCTTGAACAAAAAAAGTTCAAATTGCATGGGTCTGCTTATGCATGTATTTTTTTTTTAAAGATTTATTTATTTATTTTAGAGAACCCGTGTGCAAGAGGTGGGGGGGAGGGGCAGAGGAACAGAACCTTCAAACAGACTTCTGGCATAGGGCTCGATCTCAGGAACCATGAGGACATGCATCACACAGTTAACTGACTGAGCCACCCAGGCATCCCTACGTGGATTTTTTTCAGTAACTACAGTACGGTACTTTAAATGCATTTTCTCTTACAATTTTCTTAACATTTTCTGTAGCTTACTTTATTGTAAATAATACATACAACATACAAAATATGTGTTAATCAATTGTCTATGTTGTAGGTCGGGCTTCTAGTCAGTAGTAAATTACGAGGAGTTAAGTTCTGGGGGAGTCAGGAGTTCTATGGAAAAAATTTTTTTTTTTTTTTAAGTTTGTTTTAGTAATCTCTACACCCAGCGTGGGGCTCAGACTCACAACCCAGAGATCTAGAGTTGCATGCTCTTTGGACAGAGCGAAGCATTTGCCCTGTATATAGATTTTTGACTTGCATGGGAGGTCAGTACCCCTGACCCCTGTGTTCAGGGGCCTACTCAAAAGTCAATTTCCTACCTAAAACACACCTTTTAAAATTAAAATTTTAAAGCATCCCACCTAATACAGAAATACTTTTTTAAAACTAAAACATGCCTTTTTAAAAATTCCCCAGTTAATGCAACTATAATGATTTTACACAAACTCTTTCAATACTGTACTATATGCTTCTCTAACTTCTAAAGTAATACATCTGAGAAGAAGAGGATTCTTAGAGGCCAGGCATATTCTGTGTGTAACATATGCTTCAGAGTACAAGGGCTTCTTTATTAATATGGTCATTGCTACAGTTCTAAAATTCCATGACATTTCCAGAAGTTGTTGTGAGAGACTGCCCTGTTTACATAGCTTGTGTTGAATATCCACAGAGATTTTTGTGTTTCAAGGGTTTCTGTCCCCTCTCCCATGGTAACTGTCATGTGGCGCACTGATGGCCTTGCCCGTTCCTCCCTCGAATTCGGAGTAAGAGGCTGAATTTGGTCTAAGGGTCTCATGATCAGAGTGTGTGGAATGTAGTGTGAGTGGGTTTTGCGATTTTCTGTTGATCGTGTGGTGATTCTTCTTACTCTTTTTTGGATTCTCCACCTCTCTTTTCCTTCCAGTGAAACTTGGGATGAATTATGTTGCATGGCTGATACAGTCTCAAGGGCATAACCAGGATTAGATGCACTTCTCAGTTTGATGGCTCTACCCTTACTAACTTTTTGTCTTCCCAGTAATGCATTTTGGAATTGAATTGAAAGTGAGATTATGTTCAGATTTAAACTTTAGAAAATTTTTTTCCTGAAGGAATTTTAGGAAAGGACTTGGCAGTGTTCCTTACAAATGACCATGGAGTATAAGTTAAGAACCAGTGGTAATATGGAGTGATAACTGATACCAAGAAGTGAGATATCCACCTAAAAATACAAGAGACAAAAACTAAAACTTTGAAGATGAGACTGTACATCAAGTTCTTGTTATACATCAAGTTACACATCAAGTTTTTGTTATACATCAGGTTATACATCAAGTTTTTCCAATAGTGTGCTACTCTTCTTCCATAATAGTAGAACAGGCCTGTTTAATTCATAATTTAACCTTCATTTATAGCATTTGGGGGTTGAAAAATTGAGTATTTGTTAACTCAAAAGCAGCAGTAGAATTTCCCTGCAAAGGGATTTCTTTAGGAACTTAACAGCAAGGGCAGTTCATGGCGTGAGTTAGGGATTAAGAGTCATTATTTTCTTCTCCTTATGCACATCCTGTTAACCCACCATATATTGAAAAGACACAATCAAAGCCTGCCAGGCTTTTGATTTGAGTTGATTAGATTTATTAATTTAGGAGACCACTTAGGAGAATTTTCATTCTCACTGTATTGAGTTACCCAAATCAGGAACATGTATATCTTCTCATTTAGCTAGCTCTTCTTTGATTTATGTCAGTGATAGGTGGTCTTACATATCTTTCAGTAAGTTTATCACTAAGAATTTGATGTTCAGTGCTAGTAAGAGTAGCTTTTTTCCTCTTCAGTTTATTATTGTGATTGCAAATTCATGTATTATCCAGCAGACAGAATAGTTATTTATCTAGTACTTGTCAGTGTTTATGCATGAACTGATTTAGTTACAGGCAAAATCTTTTATAAATACTGTGTGTTCAGTAATCACTATTTTCGTAGATAGTGCCACTTCAGCATTATACCTAAGTATTAATCTTTCATCATACTCAAAAACTTCAAAATACTACACCGTGACACTGTGACATAGAATTAGAGCATGTAAATATTTTATGTCACCAGTCAAATTTCATACTTTCTCATTTGGAAATATTTTAATAAAAAATGGCTTTTTTTAAAAATTGCATTTTCTATTCGCTGGTTATACAGTTGATTATACCTAGTTTTTATCCAGCTTTAGCTGATTCCCTTGTAAGTTAACTTCTTTGAGAAGACAGTCAGTACGTTTCCTTTCAAATACAGCCTTCTTATATTTTTTTCTCCCTGCATCTTTGCTTCCACTTCCAATTGCTTCTGTTATTTGGGTTTTAACTATTTTGACTTAACACATCTGCCACATACTACAATAGTCAGGATTATACTAAAAAATCTAGCATGTCATTTTAATAAAATGAAAGTTTAGCCTTAGATTTAGAATAATTTTTTAAACAAGTATGTCAGTGTTATCTGATTATGCAGTTGTTAGACTTTAAATACTCATGACTTCTCTTAATATTACCTAAAATGTTATTGACAGACATTATTCTACCTTAGGAAGCCATGTGAAATTTTCTGTGCCCTTTTAAGTCTCTAAAACAGTCTAAGAACAGTTTTTATTTTTATTTTTATTTTTTTAAAGATTTTATTTATTTATTTGATAGGCAGAGATTACAAGTAGACCGAGAGGCAGGCAGAGAGAGGAAGGGAAGCAGGCTCCCCGAAGAGCAGAGAGCCTGATGTGGGGCTCGATCCCATGCCCTGAGCCGAAGGCAGAGTCTTTAACCCACTGAGCCACCCAGGCGCCCCTAAGAATAGTTTCTAAAGTTCAGTTTTTTTGTTTTTGTTTTTTTGGTTTTTTGTTTTTAAAGATTTTATTTATTTGACAGACAGAGATCACAAGGAGGCAGAGGCAGGCAGAGAGAGCGGGAAGCAGGCTCCCCGCCGAGCAGAGAGCCTGACGCGGTGCTCGATCCCAGGACCCCAAGACAATCACCTGAGCAGAAGGCGGACACTTTGACTGAGCCACCCAGCCACCCCTTAAAGTTTAGTTTTTAAAAAACTAAATTATTCTACAGAATTTTTCAACAAGTAGATAATCGTTTTAAAAAATCTTATTTAAGGGAGCCTGGGTGGCTCAGTGGGTTAAGCCGCTGCTTTCGGCTCAGGTCATGATCCCAGGGTCCTGGGATCGAGTCCTGCGTCGGGCTGTTTGCTTGGCAGGGAGCCTGCTTCCTCCTCTCTCTCTCTGCCTGCCTCTCTGCCTACTTGTGATCTCTCTCTGTCAAATAAATAAATAAACTCTAAAAAAAAAAACCTGGGACGCCTGGGTGGCTCAGTTGGTTAAGCAGCTGCCTTCGGCTCAGGTCATGATCCCAGCGTCCTGGGATCGAGTCCCACATCGGGCTCCTTGCTTGGCGGGGAGCCTGCTTCTCCCTCTGCCTCTGCCTGCCATTCTGTCTGCCTGTGCTCTCTCTCTCTCTCTCTCTCTCTGACAAATAAATAAATAAAATCTTTAAAAAAAAATAAATAAATAAAATAAAAAAAAAACCTTATTTAATGAAAGATAATTTAGATAAATGTAACAGAGAACACCCGTTTCTATGTATGTTTAATTAAACATGAAATCGGAAATAACAGTTTCTGTAATTAGTGTCTAACTGCAGAATTTTCCATTATTACTTTAAAAGTCTAAGACACACAGAAAAACCCAAAAAGTTTTTCTTTTTTTTTTTAGTTTTGTCCCTGCAAAGTCAGAGGGAATGTTCCAGTCAAGAACAAAAACGAAAGAGCTGTAGTCACTTTGAACATGAGGAAGATGCAGAATTTTACCAAGAGATGCTTTGCAGATAATAGTCATTGTAACTCATTTAAGAACTCTGAAACTTGGAATGTGGCTTGTGCTGACCTGTGATTTGAATTGGTACTTCTTTTCAAATCACGGTATAGACATGATAGATAATACTACTTTCACCCTATAGATTTTTTTGATTTGTTGGCTACAGCTTCTTTTGAGAGATTTGGTGGGATTTGAGGGGGAAAGAATGTGTTCAGGTTGCTCTTGGGGCATTTCCAAATGAGCTAGTTGTCATTAAGCAGTACATTTTAGTCCATCATTTCTGACATAATATGGACTCCAGAAAAACATGCTACAGAAAGCATGGCAGTGCTGCATTGTTCAGAAGGTCAAATGTAAATACGTTATTTCATTTCCAGAGGAAATTGTACAAAATGTAATTAACATTTATGAAACATGTTTTCAGGGAAAATGTATGTAACCACTAAGTAACTGCATTTTTTTCCTATTAGATCCACCTGATACTCCTCAAAAACTGAATTGTGAGACCTCTGATTTAAAAGAGATTGTCTGTACTTGGAATCCAGGAAGACCAACTGCATTGGTGGGCCCACGCAATACGAGTTATACTTTATTTGAAAGGTAAAACTCACCAGGGAAAGATGTTAGACGGCAGGGAGTAACCTGGAGGGTATTAAATGACACAGGGAAATGTGGTATCTCATTTCTGTTCTGAGTAAAATAAAAACTCAGTACGCTGTATAAAATTGGATATACCATTAATACTGCAAATGACATGCACACAGACTAGATTCATGTGCCTTTTTTAAAAATCCTAGAAGAACCCTCAAATACGAACAGGAACTGTTCTGGATAGTAGGCTTCTGGCCGGTGATTTTCATCTATTTTCTGAATGAGACACATTTTCCTAGCCAAGTATGTAGTGCATTTGGAATTAGAAATACAAACTTTTAAAAAAGATTAATTATTAGAAATGTACCCATCTATTTTTTCCTGAAGTATTTATCTCTCTTGCCATTTTAAAATGATTTTAATATTTCTTCTTATTCTCTTAATTCAGTTTTTCAGGGAAATATGTTAGATTTAAAAGAGTTGAAGCACCAACAAATGAAAGCTATCAGTTATTCTTTCAAATGCATCCAAATCAAGAAATATATAATTTTACTTTGAATGCTCGCAATCCTCTGGGTCGATCAGAATCAACTATTTTAGTTAACATAACTGAAAAAGGTAAGCTGCTACATAAACCAGTGTCTTAAAAACAATTTTAGAAGGGATAAAATATTTTGAAATTAAAGTTCTTCTAGGGCTTACTTTTTATAATTTTCTTTAGAGTTATTAAATAGTTTTTATTTTAAAATCCTTAAAATGTATAATTTCAGGTTTCACCATTTTGTTGATTTCAGATACAAATTTGAATTGGTCATTTACATATAAACTCTAAGTGGCTTTAATAGTTTTTGATTATTGAAAAATTTTGTGTCCAGTTCTTAAAAAATTTTTATTTTTTAAAATCTTTCTATTTTAAAATAACTATAGACTCACGAGTGGTTGTAAAAATAATAAAGCCCTGTGACATCTCCCCCAGCTTTCCCCATTTGTGATGTCTTACTAACTGTAGTACAGTTTTCAAGTGAGCAGTCAACATGGGTACAGTACGGTAAACCAGACCGGTGAACTGGACTGCTGACCTTGCTCAGTTCTAACGAGGTTCTGTGTGCATTGAGAGGTGTGTGTGCATGGACGTGTCTGTGCAGTTGAATCTGTCTAGAGATTCATGGAACCACAGGCATAGTCAAGATACAGAGCTGTTCTGTCTCCACAGAGACATTCCCTCTTCCTGCTCCATTGGCAAACCTCCCCACACCTCCCCGCTACCCATCCCCCCACACACACCATGCTCCTGCAGCCCTGTCCCCAGGCAACATCTCCTCTGTTCCTCATCTCTGTGTTTTGTCATTTTGAAATGTTGTATAAATGGAATCATCCAGTACCTAACCTTTGGAGATTGGCATTTTTTACCAAGGGCTCCATCCAAGGTGCTGTGTACATCAGTGAGTGAGTGGTTCCTTTTTATTGCTGATGATTCTGGAATTTTTACTAGCCCTATTAATACCTAGCTCAAGATAGAAATAAAATATGGTCCAACTTCTTAGCATTCATTCCTGTGGGCATCCCACTGCATCAGTGCCGTAGCGGGCTCTGTGGTCCACGGAGCGCTGGTGTGGAGGCCTGGCCTCCCTCACAGACTCACAGTCAGTGGAGAAGGGCTCAAACCAAACACATTATGATAGAGACTGGCAAGTGCCCAGTAGCTGAGCTCGTTGCCCTACACGTAAATGTAAGTAACTTCTATCAGTTATTCCTTCTCCTCACTTTTCGTTCTTTCCTGGTTTTCCCTAAGCTCAGAAGAGCCACATTTGGTACATTTGAGCGCTAGTGTTCATGTGTATTTGCCCCCCGCCTTTCCGCCTTACTGTCACAGGACTCCTTGCCACTCACGTTGGCCTCTGTGCCATCACCAGCATTGTGTGCGGTTTGTCTCACTGTCGTCCCGTTGTTCTTCAAGACCCCAATCGGAAGTGCTCTTCCACATCTGTTTTGCCAGTTTTAGTCAGATTCTTCCTTCAGAGCTCACCTTAAGTCCCATCTTCTCTCTCAGACTTCCCTACCACACTTGCGTCTCAGTGCCTGTGGCCACTAGTACCACGCATTTCCAACTTATGGTATATACTCTTGTTCATTGTCTCTCTCTCTCTTTTGGTCACTCCCCAAATGAATTCGGCATTCCTTAAAGGTAGAGATTATGATCTTACTACCTTTTAGTATTCCTGATGCCAGTCTGGGAACCGTGAGTGTGGTTGGTCCGGAAACACAGTAGGCCCGATTCCAGCAGTAAAAGTGAGGTTTGTGTATGCCACGGCTTGAGTGGAATGTTGTTGATCGGTACCAATGACTCCTCTAGTTTCTTAGTGGTTTTTTGTTTTGTTTAGTTTTGTTTTTAATTGTCATTTGGCCTATTAGAAAGTAACTTTTTAACTAATCTTTACAAATTATACTTACAGTCTGTCCTCGTATTCCTACTTCAATCAAAGTGAAGGATATTAATTCAACAGCTGTTACACTTTCCTGGCATTTACCAGGCAACTTTGCAAAGATTAAACTTTTATGTCAAATTGAAATTAACAAAACTAACTCAGTCCAAGAATTGGTGAGTAAGATTTTCCTATAAACTTCCTTTGATGTTACTTTGGCTAAAATAGTTTTCAGAATAAATTAAGGAAATTGATATGTAGAAGCTCTCACATGGATTATTACAGAGATTTAGTAAGAAGTAAGACACTATATATGTCAGTGTAATGACAGCATTATATGTAGCACTTGAAACAGTTGTGAACATGAGTTTGACTTTGACTTCCAGAATGTTTCCAGGTCTAGTATAGTCCCTGGCACATGGCTGGTGCTCAGCAGATTTGTACATGAATGGATAGTTGTTGCTATAACCTTTCACATCAGTTAATGGACTGATAAGCACCAGAGAGGAGATGTGGTTTTTAAAATTGCCAAGTGCAGCAGTAGGAACAAGTTCTAAGTCAGAAGGTGGTCGTTACAAGTCAGAACATGACTTTTTAATACATTGCAGATACTTAGCTTGACTTTTGTACTGCACCATCTTGTAATTTGTGCTAAGTCCGAAATGAAAGATAATGAATGAAAATACTCATTTGGAAATTTACTGATGATTGCTAGAAAATCAGTCAAATGGCAGAATATAACCCAGAAAACTGCTTTGTAATTCGTAATTGGGAGCTCAGAGGATTTCCTGAGACGTGCGGATCCTCAGATTTGTTTAAATTGTTTCACTTTAATTTTATATAATTTAAATAAGAGTTTGTTGAAGAATATATTCTACATGTTTAGCACCATACTAGAGGTTCTGAGTACCCTATTAAAAAATGCATAAAATGATGCCTGCCTCAAAGAAGCTTCCGAATACAGCTTATATATTTAATCCTCAAGGTCATCTTAGATTACTAAAGTGTACTAAGGCCTGTTGTATTACCATTAGCCATTGACCAGTGAGCAAGAGTATATCATCCTCTCTGCATAATTTATCTTATCATTATTACTTAGATCCATATTTGAATTAAAATGACACATAAATACTGTTTATTGTTACTATAGAGCATAATTTCATGGGTTTTGTATTTATGTAAAAATTAAAATATTTTGGTGGATGAATTGTCTTTAGTTTTATAAAGGTAAACTCCTGTGGACATTTAGTCTATTTATGATACAAATTTGGGTGGGCTTTCTTATTAAAATGTGTATGTGTGTGTATATATATGAGAATTCTTATATGATGTTACATGTACATACATATACTTACTGATTTGCTTTAATAGCGGAATGTCACAATCAAAGGAGTAGAAAATTCAAGTTACCTTGTAGCTGTGGACAAGTTAAATCCGTATACCATATATACTTTCCGGATTCGCTGTTCTACTGAAACTTTCTGGAAATGGAGCAAATGGAGCAATGAAAAAAAATACTTAACCACAGAAGCCAGTAAGTTCACTAAATGATTTATAGCTGATTATTGCTGTGGGTCTTGAACTTTACAACTTATTTTTAAAGAAAATGTCACTAAAGTGAGTAAAAGGATAACGCTTGAATTGCGTAATTGTGTAATAATATCTGCTAGTAAAATATCATCCAGACATCTTAAGTGGTGGCTCTAAGGTTTATGATAATACAGACAGCTGCTGGCTGTGCTGTGTGGAAAGACTAGGCCTGTCTGCAGGATGTTTGCAGCTGTCCTAAGATGATGTGGAGGAAACAGACTCGAGACTGTGGTAAGATTATGGGTGATTTTTCTGACACTCTGTCCTCCTTCCCTATAATTTTAATAATCTATTTAGATATTAACAAAGAGAATTTGTTGGAATTTTTATTTGTGACCTTGGCCTGAGAAATGGATGGGGCCAGAGGTCTTGAACTTCATTTTCTGTAGTACACAGAGGCCAAAATAAGTACAAAATTAGGTAACTGGTTTTCTGAGTATGGTAATTTCCAAAGATGAAACGAGATTCTATCCTTGAATAGTTAGATGTCAGCTTTAAAAGTCAAAAACAAAAAAATTAATGAATAGGTATAATTTTTTAGGAGTCATTCAACAGAAGATAGCAAATGCTTTATTTGCACTAGATAATATAGGGAATATAAAACTTCTTCCAGGGGCGCTTGGGTGGCTTAGTTGGTTAAACATCTGACTCTTGATTTCAGCTCAGGTCATGATCTCAGGGTCCTGGGATCAAGCCTCACATCAGGCTCCACATTCAGCAGGGAGTCTGCTTGAGAATTTTCTCTCTTCCTCTTCTTGCCCCTCCCCCAGCTTATGTGTGTGTTTCTCTCTCTCTCTCTCTCTCTTTCTCTCTCAGATAAATGAATCTTTTAAAAAAACTTCTTCCAAAAAATTAATGCACAGTAAGACAAAAATGATTGAACTCTCCACATGAAGGAAGGTTAGAGAGATGAGAGAAGCTTTGTGATAAATGTAAAAAAACTATCTGGATCATCAAAACTGAACGCTGTGTACGAGGCCAGAAAGGGGAGTGTATTTAGTTACCCATTGCTACCTGACAAATTACCCTAAAATTCAGTGACTTAAAATAGTAAACATATATTATCTCACAATGAGTATAGGTCAGAAATTGAGAAGCAGCTTAGCTGAGTAGCTCTGGCTCACAGTCTCTCGTGAGGCCACAGCGTGGACATAGATGAGGGCTGCAGGCTTGCCCAGGGCTAGAGAATCCGCTTCCAGGATGGCTCATGCCGAGGCTGTTGCTCACTATTAGGTCTCTCCATGGTGCTGCCGAGTATCCTCACAACATGGCAGCTAGCTGCTCTAGACTTAGTGAGTAGAGGGAGAACATGGCAGCCTCCGCAATGCCTCTTATGACCGGGCCTTAAAAGGGACCTACCATCATATCTGTCATACTCTGTTGGTCACCCAGGCCAATGCTGTGACTGTGTGGGAGAGGACCACACGCAGGTGGGCATACCAGGAGCTGTGACCAGTATCACTGATCATTTGGAGACTGGCTACTACAGGATCTTTTGCGTTCAGTTGATGCACTGTTGTTGCCACAAGAAAACATTTTATCTATACCTCAATGAGATGATAGCATGAATTCACTAAACAGATACTTACTGAGGGCCACCTGGGTGGCTCAGTCGGTCGAGGGGCTGACTGTTGGTTTTAGCTCAGGTCATGATCTCATGGGTCATGGGTTGAGCCCCATGTTGGGCTCTGCACTCAGCAGGGAGTCTGCTTCAACATTCTCTTCCCCCCACCCCATTCACCTGCATCCTTGCTTGCTCTCTCTCAAATAAATCTTAAAAAAAAAAAAAACAGCACCCACAGTGTGTCAGGCGCTGTCGTAGTCACCAAGGATATAGCACTGAATAAAACAGTCTCTGCCCATGGAGTTTATTAGGATAGAGGATTAGAAATCAATTTTTAAAAAATAGTATGTTGGGTAGTGCCACAGAGAAAAATAAAGCCTAGAAAGGGGACTAAGGAAAGAAGGTGACAGGGGAGGAGGGGTTGCAGTTTTTTAAATAGGGTAGCTAGAAAAGACTTCAACTAGGAAACTAACACCGGAGCTGAGATACAGAGGAGGTGAGGTGATCAGGGGAGGAGAGTTTCTGTGCGCGGGGAGAGGGGTCACAGAAAGCGCCGGAAGCCTGAGGCAGGTGTCCTCAGCACATTTAAGGAGCGCCAAGAAGCCTGTGCTCGGGGAGAGTCCTCACCACTTGAGTGAGGGGAGGTAGGAGGATGTGAGATGGAGTCGCATCCCTCAGGGCCTGAGGGGTGATTTTAATCCTTTGTAAGGGGCCTCCTGTTTTGCAGGCCTTGAGCACTCAGCTTTTCCCTTGTTTCATTTCTGAGGGGAAGCCACTGGGCTGCTTCACATTTTTATGGAGAATTCCAAAAACCTAGGAAAAAAAATCGCAAGTGCCACTGTTTCAATTACTGCTGTTACCAACTGGCATGTAGTCCACGCCTTCAGCTGCTAACTTTTAAATCTCTTTCCTAGTTCCTTCAAAGGGACCAGATACGTGGAGAGAGTGGAGTTCCGATGGAAAAAATTTGATAATCTACTGGAAGGTAAATACCTGATTTTCCCCTGAGAATTTAAACAACGCTACTGTGCTGAGTTACTTAGCTTACGTGTGTTACTTGGGTGATCGAGGAGCCCGGGTTTCCGAGACTGGCTGTTTGCAGTCCTGCTGCGAATCTAACTAGCTCCTGCCAGGCCCTACAGTGCTCATCACCCCGTATGCACCGCGGTCAGTTTGGCGGGGATCTTCTCTGACAGATCGCAGCGTTCTTTAGTTTGATTTCATGAGGCCTACAAAGGAACTGAGGATTTCCTGAATTCCTCTCTCTCACCTGAGCCAGAAACACAGCCAGAAGCTACAAGTTAGAATCTCAGTTCTCTTGACATTTTTTTCTTCACTGAATAGGAAACTTCTTACATATCTCATACGTAATTTGTTTTCCCTTAATTGTATTACTGTATGCCACTTAAAAAGGCTTTCATGGTTTTGTAAAATTTTTAGATACACTATAAATTGTATTGTGTTTTCACTGGTGTTCCTCTACTGGGGCAGACATTTTTGTAGCATTATATTCTTTATCTGATTTGCAAACGTCAAAAACAAACGCTTGTTTTCGAGTCAGATGTTATAAGAGCAGCCGTAATTGGATTCCTTTCAATAGTGAATTTTGTTACTGAAAGTAAAACATCATTTTTATGAAAATTTGAGGTCAGCCCAGCCTTGAGGAAAGTTAAGTCTGTGTGCAGATTCACTGTAAGTCCTGTCGCTTTGTGATTGTCTGCGTATGACCGCGTAGCCCTCTGACCCTTGATTAGAGAATCCACTGCTACTCAGAGTTGTCTGTCAGATTTCATGACGACGTAGTTACAGTTCCACACCACCTCAGTGTGTCACTTCTCAGCCTTTCGGCTAAGATCAAGTGTAGGGTCTGTTCTTCATGGTGTAATAGCTGATGCGTCCTCTAGCCAAAGACAATATATCACATGGGTCTTTGGAATTAGGGGATGGAACAGGAGCCTACTGTACCCACTCCACTCATTGGCCTGGTATTGCAGGACCATTACTTCAGTGTAGAGAAAGTCTGGGACCTGCTTCAAACTAGATGAATGCCTAACCAACGGTGAAAAATACTGAAGTGATTGTAACTTCAGAGACTAGGTTGATGGTTCTGCCATTTGCCAAGGAGGAGTGTATTTGGGTGGAAAATTAATTGGTTGGGATTGACTTTTTAAAAACACATTCTAAAAATAGGTGCCACTGGGGTATCAAAGTAAAGTCTAATAGGTAGTGGTTTAATGTGAGACTCTGGAGTTCAGGAGGGTAGTCAGAGCTAAAGACATAGCTTTGAGTAGCATGTACGTGGAATCACTCAGGGACACCACGCGGGGAGGAAAGAGGCCAAGGAGGGACCCGTAGGTGATAGCGTATAAAGGAGTGGCAGAGGAGGAGGAGCCCGCAGAGGAGAGTGGGAAGGTTAGAGGACAGGAAGACCAGCAGAAAACCAGGGTGGGGTTCTCTGAAGGAGTGAGCCATCAGTAGTGTCAAAGAAGGCCCATGAGCCTTAGACTGATAAAGGGCCCAATAGGACAGGCCATCAGAGAGTCCTGTTTGGAGCAGTGTTTTCAGCAGAGTATTAATACCGAGGTCAGTCTGGATCAGAGTGTCCTGTTCGTTGTCGTATAAATTGGAGGAATAGTCTGGAAAAGCATTTTAATAAGTCTACTTTGGAGATCCACATTAAAGAATTAATCCTAACTATGAAAGAAAAAAGTGGTATGAAAAGGTACACCAAAGTATAATTTTAGTAATAAGTTAGAAACAATTTAAATTTCATTTATTTAAGGAATATTCAAATAACTGGTAAAAATACTACATAAAATATAAAGCCATTCAAGTGTATATATTGTAGACAGCTATATTATAGAAAGGTGAAAAAAAGATAAAATCGTGATTAAAACAATTTTAATTAAAAAATATCTACATCTTAGAAAAACAACTTGAAGAAAATGCAAAAATATAAGAGTGTTTAAGAGATGGGAATATGGGAACATTTTACAGGTTTTTTTTAACTTTTGTATCATTTCCAAATTTTCTGGTAATGGGCATGTACTATTTTGAGAAAATAATAAATATTTTTTTAAAAACTATGATGCTGTTTTTTTAAAGTTTTATTTATTTAAGTATTCTCCACCAGTGTGGGGCTCAAACTCATGACCCTGAGATCAAGAGTCACATGCCCCATTGGTTGACCCTGCCAGGCGCCCCAGTGCCGTAATATTTTATGTTTCGTTTGATAGAGCAGTCATTCTTGTTACTTTTTTGTTTGCTTCTGAAAAATGTGAGGCTAAAAACTGGTTTGTATTAACTTAATTTTTAAATTGCTGTGTGCTCTTAAACTGCGTACAGTAAGTATATTTTTTTCCTCAGCATCACTCCCCTGATCTGTCCTGGCCGTGGCACCTTCTGAATCTGTGTTTGACACCATTTCCTTGATTCTGATGTTGCCTTGTCATGATTGACATGGTGTCTGGTTTACACCTGATGGTCTTGCCTCACCACATGGCTGGTGTTGCAGGTTTCTTGACAATTTATTTTTCTGTTTCTCTCAGCCTTTACCCATTAATGAAGCAAATGGGAAAATACTTTCCTATAATGTATCCTGTTTGCTTGATGAGGAGACACAGTCCCTTTCTGAGATCCCTGATCCTCAACACAAGGCAGAACTACAACTTGATAAAAACGACTACATCATCAGTGTGGTGGCAAAAAATTCTGTTGGCTCATCGCCACCTTCTAAAATAGCTAGCATGGAAATTCCAAACGGTGAGTACCTAAGATAATGCAGAATCTAAGAACCGGAAATTACAGCGAAACATTTTAAAGGGAGTTTGCCTGCTCTTACAAGGTCAGCTCTCTTCTCATATCCCCGGCTGCTGCTGATCCGTAAGGAGGATTTAGCCCATTCCTGTACAAAATTCTTGAAGAGACAGCAGCCATTAGTCACTCGTGGTGACTCCAGACCTTGGTGCTGGTGGATAAAATAATTAGTGTTACCCAGTCACATTAGGGCATAACATTGGAGAGTTATGGTGGTGGACTTCACTCTCAGTAAGAAATGTTTTAGACATTTATTTAAGACCATTTTCAGGTACCTTTCCAAGACCATGGGAGCTGTTGCTGTATCAGCTGCGCTGTTCCACAAACTGCCAGGCAGGAAAAAAATACTTACTTTTAATAGCAGCTTTGTTGATAAGACATTTCTTTATTAATAGGAATCCTTTACTGATAAAAAAATTCTTCTTAGGGGCACCTAGGTGGTACAATCGTTGAGCATCTGCCTTGGGCTCAGGTTGTGATCCCAGGGTCCTAGGATCGAGTCCCACATCGGGCTTCTGTTCAACGGGAAGTTTGCTTGTCCCTCTCCCACTCCCCCTGCTTGTGTTTGCTCTCTTGGTGTCACTCTTACCAAATAAAATCTTAAAAAAAAAGAAATTAAAGTCTAAATTAGATCTTCAGTATAAAGTCACTCTAGAACAATTTTAAAATTAACTGAGCGCCTTTCTTAAAATGTTACGGATTACCGGTAATCCATAACACTTAACGCATAGCCACTTCTGCCTCTTTTCTCAGTTCATTCCTCTTCAGGTCATTCCCTGCTCCCATCTTCCTTTGCTGTCCTGCCCCAATATTGGGGCGCTGGTCTGTGACCAGCCACTCCTGAAGGAAGAAAAGTTGGTTGGTCCAGTTAGGTTCTTCCAAGTATCTTTTCAACTCTTGACCGAGGCAGTTTCTTACTCCTTGCACTTAGCTGCTGCTTGGCTTTGTTCAGTGGACCGTAGGGGAGGAAGGACAGGGGGAAGCACCGTTCCTTTCAGACACATGGAACACAGAGCCCAGATTGCAGCACACACCAGAGGGGAGAGGTCCTCAGGCAGTGCTGTGACAGCAGAAAGAAAAAAAAGAGGAGAAGAGAGATGTGAACATCCTTAAGAAGATAGATAGCCTTCTGGTTTAGATTCTACATTTCATTGCTTTACAATGATAGGCAATAGCTGTGTTGTCTTTTAATTCACAGATTGTTTTCCTGCCTTTTCCATGTGTCCTTCAGAAGGTGGTAACTTCTGAACTAACAATGGTATAGCATCAGCTCCTAGACAGTTACGGAAGCCTCAGAAAAAATCACCCTTCCTTGAGGATTTCCTGTGTCTGAGGCCCTGTGGCCCCAGAGCAGGTTCATAGTGGGGGGGGTGTTTAATCACATTGAGCCCAAACACTCCTATGTCCAGGGTCTTCTGAATTCTAAGGCAAATTGTTGTCTTGTGTCAGGTAGGAATTGCTTTATGAATACCATTTTTTTTTCCAAAAACCCTTTCTGTGTCTTTTTACTGGACCCTTGAATAAAAATGAGTTATAGAATTTTCTGCTATTGGGGCACCTGGGTGGCTCAGTGGGTTAAAGGCTCTGTCTTCAGCTCAGGTCATGATCCCAGGGTCCTGGGATCAAGCCCCGAATTGGGCTCTCTGCTCAGCGGGGAGCCTGCTTCCCCTCTCTCTCTGCCTGCCTCTCTGCCTACGTGTGATCTCTGTCAAATAAATAAATAAAATCTTAAAAAAAGAATTTCCTGCTATTAACTGTGGAAAATACCCTCTCCCTTTGGGCCTAACCACCCCCCATCACCTGTAGGCCGAGATCTGACAGGATGGGGAGGCAGAATCTCAGCACAGCCCCGTCCCTCTAACCTCTGCACCTCAGCCCCCTGTCCCGTGGTGTGTGTGTGTGTGTGTGTGGTTCCCTCCCTCTGCGCAAGCTGGCCGTTCTGTCCCATAGCGGCCATTCCGTCCCACGGCCTTTGATCCGTCTGCATATCAGCCAATTCCCCATTCCTCAGCCCGTCTCCACAAGCCCCTTCAGCCCGCCCAGAGGCTTGAGAGGAAGAGAAGGGTTGGTCTGCTTATTAACCACAGATTCTCGTGCTCCCGGTATATAGGTCTGGCCCCAGGGCGGGGGTCGCAGGCATAGTCACCCCCATCTGCTCACAGAGCTCACATCTGCCCTCCCCTCCAAACACTGCCACCACCCGCCATTGCCTGCATGCCCTCAGCCCCGTCCCCCCACCCATCCGCCCTGGCTGGCCTTCACACCCTGGCCTGCTGCGCCCCCACCTGTCCCACGTGCGCTTTCATGACTTTCCAGCTTCCGAATCTATCTGTACGCACAGGCAATTAGCTTTTTACAACAAAAGCAGAGGAGTAAGTCTTCCAAACTTTGCTACAGGCTTAGGTAGTTTGAGCACTCCTGCAAAAATTTCTGTCCAGTGAAGTAGTTTTTCTAACTCTTGCCCATTTTCATGAGATATACCTTATATTACTGTTTTTAATACAAGTAACATGCACTTCTTTCTCGTTGAAGATGATCTCAAAGTAGAGCAGGCTGTCGGAATGGGAAATGGAATTCTCCTCACTTGGAATTACGATCCCAATATGACTTGTGACTATGTTATTAAATGGTGTAACTCATCTCGGTCTGAACCCTGCCTTATGGACTGGAAAAAAGTCCCTTCAAACAGCACTGAAACTGTAATAGAATCTGGTAAGATGAACTCATGCCTCTCCATGAAAGTTGTTAAAAATATTTCTAAGAGAGCAGTACATGGGGTGAATGCGTGTGATGAGTGGTCGTTTACGCCTTACCACGGGAATGAGTGTGAATTGGTTTGACCTTTCTGGAAAGTGCTTTGTAGCAGTATGCATGGGAAAGGGTTCCTATCTTTTAATTTAGTAATTATTTGTCTAGAGTTTATTCTAAGAAATAATCAGAGAGCAACACAGGAGTCCATCTAGGAAGGTTCACCGTAGTGTTACTTGTAATCACAAAACTTGAAAACTTGAAAAACCCAAAGAAGAGAATGAGTCAGGAATGCTCCTGAAGAAAGAAAACCATGGAGCCCTAAGCAGTGTGGTCTCACCCCTTGACCTTTGCCTTCATGTGTCCAAGCGCAGGTTTCTGGGCAGAGCCAAGAACAGAGGCCACTGATGGAGGATGGGGGGCACCCGTGTGGCAGGGGGCACAGGGTGTGTGGGGCGGGGAGAGGACGGTTCCCGGCGCCTGACTGTTGACAAGCTGGGGAGCCCTGTAAGGCACGCTGCTTTTGATAGCACCAGCCTACAGGTCAGCCATGAGGAGAACAACAGGAGCAGGGGAAGCTAGCCTTGCCGTTGGACGTTACAGCCCTCTTTCCACCACCATTGTTCATTCTGAGTAGCTGTGAGTGTTTCGTGCCCCTGCCCTTGGGGATTCTGGATCCTGTAGCCTCGGTGGTGATGCTCCTCGAGGTCATCCCCCTCTCCTGGTTCTTCTCACGTTGAGGGGAAGCCCAGGAGAGTAGGCTGGTCCTCTCTCCCAGGAGCCGGTGCTGCCCGCTTGCTTTTTCACCATCAGCTGGTGAAGATGAGTCCCATCGGCTAGATTACTCCAAGTTGGTTAAGAGTATTTGCCAGTTTTACTTGAAATACTTGATGGTTCCCTTTATCCTTCCTTAGAGCCTGCCTCCCTTCTCAGAGTGCCTGGCACTCTCCACCCTCCTCTCCCGCACCTGCCCTCGCACCGTCCCCACCTGGGGCTGCCTAAGCCTTACACCAGCCTAACGTACACTGTACGGATTCTCGTCCCTCTTCCACCTCCGCACCTGGGCTTTGAGAATAACAAGGGTGGACTGGGGCAGGCTCGGTGGTGTGGAGGGGGTCGTCTTAGAGCATCTGGAGACAGAAGTTGAAGCTGAGACCTATAGGGTGAGAGGGAGAAGCTCCCGATTACAGCAGGTGAGCAAAGGCCCCACAGTGGTTGAGAAAGGCTCAGAGAAGTCAGGTGACTGCTTAAGTTGACAGAACGAGCTTGTGGCAGCACCAGGATTCAAATTCGAAGCAGAACGTTCAGTGCCTCGGGAGGCCAGGAATTGTCTCTCTCATTTACTGCTTCTGGGACACCACCGTGGCCACAGGAGGCCACAGGAGGCACTTCTTGTCCTTTTCTCAACCTAATCATCTCTTCAACTATTTTACCACCTCAAAACAAAGAACTAAAGCCATAATCCCCACTTTGGCCTTTTTCTGTTTAAGGTAGCAGAACCCTACAGAATATTGACATACTAATCATCATAACACTAGGTACAGTTTACTAACTTACGTGAGGATTAAACTAACCTCAGGCATGCCTGACGCCAAAGAAAACAGTTAAAAAATGATCTTAGAGGTTGGCCATCTCACTCTGGAGCTAATAGAAGCACTGGTGTTCCGTGGGCACATAGTTATAGAGAACTGGTGCTCTGACCACACCAGAAGAGTTGCTCTCCACGAGTGCAGTGCAACCCCACATGCTGCCGTTTTCCCCCAGGTGGGATCTTCTTCCTAGACCACCACTGCTGAGCTCCTAATTACCTTTTAAGACCCTGTTTCAGATGTTACCTCTTGGTGGTTTTTCGTGGTACTCTTAGACTCATTCGGTGGCACGGTAAAGGTGCCCCAGCCTGTGATAGGTCCCTGAAGTCGTCTAGCACGTGGTGTCTTGGTTACCCCTGTTTATCTGGCTCCCCACCATTCTACCACCTTTCTAGGCCATGGCCCACACAGTGTCTGTCTCTTTGTTCCCAACATTTCACATGTTGCATTGTGTCAAGGAGGTACTTTAAAGGGGGCTTTCTGAAGTTAAGATGCTTCTCTTGTGCGTTTTGTGATGTTAACTCAAGGGCACTAAATAGTGATGCTGTATAGAAAAACAGACTCTATGGGCCGGCATACTTGAAGCAGCAAGGTAGAGTGGAAATGTTAGTTTCTGCTTTTCAGAGGCAAGGGGAGAGAGAGATCACACTGGCTAGAGCAGGAAGGGCTTTCCAGAGGCTTGACTTGGACCTGGAATTGGCTAGTAAACTGACTGGGCCCAAATTTGGGAAGAAGTCATTGTTGCTTGGTCTTAAAGAAACAGAATGAAAGCCCTGTTCACTGTTTTCTCCCTTCAAGGTCATGGTATGTTACAGTGTTCATTACAACAGAAGTGAATTTGTTTAATTTTTCTTAAGTCATTTTTCACTCTGAATATTTATCAGTTTTGAAAAAATGGATTTTTTTAATGATAAGAAAACAGCTGTTTAAAATTAGCTTTGGAAATTTAAGAATAAGTGATTATATATAGGTTTGATATTTCTAAAGTAGATGTTCATAGTAATATGTGCTTAACGAAAGTTAATTGTCTCCATCCTATAGATCAGTTTCGACCTGGTGTAAGATACAATTTTTTTCTGTATGGGTGCAGAAATCAAGGATATCAGTTACTACGTTCTATAATTGGATATATAGAAGAACTGGGTAAGTTAAATGGGTAAGTTTTCTTAGAGTCCAAGGTAACATAAATTAGAAATAAATAGCGATTGCAAGATTGAATTCTAAAAACGATTTGAGATTTGTAAGGAAGGAAGAATAATTTGATAAATTGAGATTACTTAATCTTCATTTCGTTAATGTTCATATTTCACAGTTTTACTGTTGTCATTGATAAATGAAATCTCAATTTTGATGTCAGAGAGACTTAATTTGCACTTAAACACGTTTAATAAAACCATTAACTTCAAGACTGTGTACAGAGGGGGAACACGGTTCTGTTTGCATAGCTGCTCCCGGATTTTGCCGAGGGGGCCCCCTCTCCTCTGCTGCAGCGTGTGCGCTGTGAGAAACCCCCTTGTGTCTCCAGTCAGTAGAGCACGAGCTTCACGGGAGCGGTGCTTGTGCTAGTATCTCTGAAAGTGGGACTTCGTAGACAATAAAGTTCTAATTTCAGATTCAGTTATTCTTGAGGATAGAAATCTCATCAAATGTTGTGGTCTTCCTCTGTGTCTGTCAACTCTCCTCTAGCCGCGGTCGTTTTTCTCTTTACAGCTCCAATTGTTGCGCCAAATTTCACTGTTGAGGACACATCTGCAGATTCGATACTAGTAAAATGGGAAGATATTCCCGTGGAAGAGCTCAGAGGCTTTTTAAGAGGATATTTATTTTACTTTGAAAAAGGAGAGAGAGACACATCTAAAATAAGGGGTTTGGAATCCGGTAAGTCACTTAACTACAGCTGGAATATTTCCTAGAAGTTCTCTTTAACCACAAAAAATAAAAAAATAAATTAAAAACCAAGGAAAAAGAAAGAAGTGCTGCTGAGTAATACTGGTTTCCAAAACTGACAAAGAGATAAAGGAAAATGGATAAATATGAGAATTTCAGGATTTTAGTATGTGATAAATGACATGTACCATTTTTCATTTAAATTATTCTGCAGACTTTGATTATAAGCCCTGTAGGACAGAGATCATCTCTTAGCAATCTTGTATCATGCATAACAAACATAGCATCTTACCTAGGTTATTTAAATTTTTTTTTAAAAAGTCTTTCTGTAATTCTAATAATGGAGGAGAAAAGTTCAGGAACCCAGAGAAGGGCTCCAGAGCCTCTGCCGTTACCTGACAGAGAGCCGTCCGCACAGTTAGTAGTGGCCTTGGTGAGCTGGCAAGCTTAATTGACTTGACTGGGGACAAGAGCATCCATTAGATCTTTAAAGGTTCAGTCAGTCCTTGACAGTTGGTAAGCAGATGTCCAGAGTCCAGAGAGAATTTTCAAATTTATAAATACAGAAATGTTTATGCAGACTTCGGCTTCTCCCTAAATTACATTTCTGTTGGGAGTCAGATGTTTCCTCTTCATAGCCACATAACACAAGGCTATCATCTTTTCAGTTTGAGAGCTTTCATTTCCCTTAATGACCTCTCCTCAGAAGAAAACCACTTTAATTATTTAATGCCCATCCGACAAGTCGAGAACAGCAGTGCTGCATGGCAGTGCTGCATGGCGGTGCTGCCCGGGCATCAGCTAAGGCACTTCCCAGAGCAGCTGTGCTAGCTGTGCACTAAGGTCTGTGTTTCCAGACCACTAAGGTCTGTGTTTCCAGAACCTTCGCAGTTGCCTGTGAATGAGAAAAACCACACATACAAAGTTCTACAGATACCTAGAGTCTGGTGAAATTTTTCTCAAATGTTCAGAAATTTTACACTGTACCAATTAAAATTCTAGCACCTAGACTCCATTTAGACATGAAGGATTGGTCACTGAAGTTGAAGAGGAAAAGAAAAAGCATAAAGCCTAAAAAACAGACAGGCAAGAGTACACCAAATTTGGACATTTTCGGGCTGATGGGAGTAGGACAGATCACCTGGAGGATGGAGGATGGTGAAATCCAGGTGGACGTTCAGGCTTCGGCGAGAAATAATTCGACTAATCCTAGGGGTCGGGATTGGAGGCAGATGGTTAGGATGGATAGGAGCTCAACAGTGAGGAGTGACTGAAAGTCTGTAAAGAGCAGTGAAAACCCCCAAAGTTGTACACCTACTTCATTCAGCTAACATGAGTACCCGTTCCTCTGCCCGAAGATGAGGGCTTTATTCTTTGGAGAAACAGCCAGAGAACCTCCAGAAAGAGGGACCCTAGTGAACAGTGTGACCTTTCCTGTTCCTCCTTCCCCTGATAGGAAGCTAATAGGACATCTTCAGCTAGGCCTATTTCCCTGGATGAGATAAGAGGATCTTTCTTTGGAAAAAGGAAATGGTTCCTGGGGCAAGACACAAAAGGTGCTGTCCCAGTGAAAGGCCAGAAATTGACCTGGTCATTCCCCACCAGTGATAAGTGAAGCCCACCAACCAGTAAGCTCCACCCATTCACAGTGACCTTCCAGGGGCTCGCTCTAACCGTGACTAGCAGCCAGGGATAACCAGATGGTTGAGAAAGATTCTAATTAGAGAAAACAGACTCAGAGTAGGGAAACAGAATTTTAAAACAAAAAACAAAACTATCCTTGCATAGTTGAGATACCCTCCCTGTATTTATTGAAAGGACCTGGTGTTACTAAAAAAGAATGGTCAGAAGATAGGTAAGAACTCATCAAAATTACAAATGTAATCAAAGAAAATTTTAAAGAATTAAATAGTAGCGAAATTACATGGGAGATAGAGAAATTCTTTCCCAAGTTAGACAAATGCAGAGGAGAAAACTTGGAGTAAAACGATGAGGAAGTTGGAGCATGCGGAGACCTGTGCAGTCATGCTTTATAGGAGTTGTTGGGTGGGGGCGGGGTGCGGAGGGGGCTGCAATAGAAGGAGCAGAAGAACATTTCCCAGATAAAAGCACTCAGTAAGTACATAGTAAGATAGGTAGAAAAAAATCTACACCAAAAAAGAAATCTACACCAGGGTAGGCTGTCATGAATTTCCCAAGCACCTGATACAAGTCCTAGAAACAGAAAAGACTGGCTCAGGTGCGAGGCCTCAGGAATGAAAGTGGCCTCGGATTTCTCAGCAGCACAGCAGATGCTGGAAGATAGCACAGCTGGGTCTCCAAGATGCTGAGTGCAAATTTTTTTCAACCATGAAGTCTGTACTCTGTCAGCGACAGCCAGTGTGAGAGCAGAGGGAAGGCATCTTCAGACCCGTAGAGCTGCAAATACTTCCTTCCCCATGTCCCCTTCTCAGGCAGTGGTTCTAGAACAGTGGGTCAGCCTGAGGAAGCAAGTGGGACAAGGTGGTTCAGGACGGCGGGAGCTGGGAAGGCCTGGGTCTGGAGCAGATACACTGGGAAGGGGGCCCTGGATGGGGAGGATGTGGGGAGGGGGGCGTAAGCAGGGGTGGGAGAGCCAGTCATGGCTCTGGGATTTTGTTGCGTTGGGCCATGTGGAAAATCGCATTGAATATTCACAGGAGGGTGTGGGAGGAATTAGGAATTGGTACATTAAGCAAATGAGGAAAAAACATTAAAACAACAGAAAAGTAAGGGAAACATGAGCAGACCAAGCAATTTGTCTAGCAGGAATCCATACTTACACGATCGCAGTAATGTAAATGGTGAATTTCCCAAACATTGTGGTGTGCGTGAATGATGGGGGATGTGAGGGAGACAGAGTGCTGAGAACACCCAAGCTTCACCTTCTTTGTAGGACATGCGTATGTAATGTCTACAAGTCTTAAAGTGCCACCAGTGTGATTTTATTTCAAAATACAGAAGTAAATATCCAAAGAAACAGGTGACGTGGTTTGGCAGGGAAGGTGCGAGCACAAAACTGCTGCATTTTGTTGTTACCATTTAGTCCTGTTCAGTTTTTCAAACTAGTCGTCCCTTACTTTGAATAAAACTTCAAAACAATAGTTGAAGCAGTTCTTCATCCTTCTTCTGACATGATCCTGTGAGTATTCAAGGCTCCCTGGCTAGCGGCTTACGCGACAGCTCAGTGTGCTGCCTCTTCGCAGGCAGTCGGGAGCGAGCATGGTAGTGAGGGGGCTCCGGCACCACTCGGTGGGGTGGCCCCGGGCACAGCGACCCTGCCCCAGCAGGTGGAGGTACACTTTCCTGCTCTGAGGAAGAGAAGGGACTTCTCTTGATTACCTGCCATATGCCAGGATTATTCTAGAGAATGTATGACAACTTCTCACAGCCCTGGGAGGTAGGTCGTGATTGTTGTTTCCTGAATTAGAGAAACTCAAGTTTGGGGTGGTTTCAGTACCAGGTCTGGACCACATGGCTGCTAACGGCAGAGGGAGAACTTGAACTGGGGTCTGGCTGACTGCACAGGCACTGGCCTCAAGGGCAGCGGGCAAACACTCACTCGAGACAGAGCTGTGGGTCGAACAGGTATGAGTAGCTAAGGTGTTTAAAAAATGGTGTAGAGATCGGTAATAATAATCTTCCCTTTGAAAATAGGTCGGTCAGACATAAAGATTAAGAACATTACTGACCTATCCCAGAAGACACTGAGAATTGCTGATCTTCAGGGTAAAACAAGTTACCATCTGGTCCTGCGAGCCTACACAGATGGTGGCATGGGCCCAGAGAAGAGCATGTTTGTGGTGACGAAGGAAAATTGTAAGTTAATTATTGCTGTTGAGGTGCTTTCCGTACCTAAATGCATAAGTTTTCAGCAAGTTTTGTTCATGTAGGAACCCCCTTTTTTAAAATTGCATGTATTGTTGCTTATTTATCGTGGGTAGCCAGCAGTGTTCAAAGGCCACAGGATGACTTCATATTTATTCTTGTCAGTTATTTGAAGCTCTTTTCCTAAGAGTACTTAAATTAATGTACGAAGGATACATCTCAAATCTGGAGTTCAAAATTCATGTTAAATCTATATAAAGCTGACCCACTTTAACATATTTTTTAAAGATTATATTTCTTTGAGAGAACACACACGTGTGTGTCTCTAGCAGACTCCCCGCTGAGCTGGGAGCTCCACGCAGGGCTGGATCTCACATCCCCAAGATCATAACCTGAGGTGAAATCAAGAGTTGGACCCTCAGCTGACTGAGCCACCCAGGTGTCCCCCACTTTAACACCTTTTTGCCCTGTTCCAAATGTGATTTTTAACATACCCAGGGAAGAGCTAAAGAAATACCCTTTAAAAAACTATAAACCCCAGCATTCACCGGTTTGAGATGGAGAGTAGGGAAGATGGGCTTGACTGTCTGCATCGAAGAGCTTGAGTTGGAAGGTGGCATCTTCTCTAGCCTGGAGTTAGAGTTCACACACACTTACATAAAGCACCACGAGGACATGGTTCTCAGCTGGGGGACATTTTGCCTCCTGGGGGATACTTGGTGGCATCTGTGACAGGATTGGATCTCATAGCTGTGGGGTGCTATATTGGGATCTAGTGGGTAGAAATCCAGGGGCGCTGCTAAGCTCCCTGTAGTGCGCACGGTAGTCCCAAAGGGAAGAAGGATCCAGTCTCACGTGTCAGCAGCACTCAGTCCTGTTCTAAAGAATTTACATATTAGTGTAAAAATTACTAAAATGCTTGAAGGTCGTATTTTAATAATTTTTTGGTGTCTCTGGATCAGGTAGGATTTTTTTTCTTTAATCTGTCAACTTAAGTATCTTATAATATGAATGTCTTCCTTCTATACATCCTGCTTAAAGTGGTGATTTGAATATATCCAATATTCTTTTTTCAGCTGTGGGGTTAATAATCGCCATTCTCATCCCAGTGGCCGTGGCTGTCATTGTGGGAGTGGTCACGAGTATCCTTTGCTATCGGAAACGAGAATGGTAATGGTACCTGCATTTCTGCTTGCTGTTGTTTCTGAAGAGTGTGATAATTCAGTTCATGTGTTAAATAAGTACTTGGTTGAAACTGGTTGGTAAAAAATGTTGGTTTAGTCTTAATATTGGATTTAATATTAAACAAGAATTACTGAAAGATTTTTAAAGTAGTAATATAAAAGGTAAACTTCCTCTTAACTGTATTTACTAATGATTTAAAGTAATAGATGCACTAAAAATACATATAGGTGTAGATACGGCAATAGCTGTATGCGGGATTAATGATTAGATCACACCTGTCCTGGTCACCTATTTAGAATATACTGTCATTTACTCATATATTTGGCAAATATGAATGCCTCCTCCCACATAAAGAGTGATAACAGTGGGGAACTAAATAAGTGTGATCCTTACAGACTTAGAGCCCGGTGGGGAAAGGGGGACCTCAAACCCATAATCATCCAGTAAACACATGCTTATAAAGTATGTGTGTACTGGGAAGGTCACAGGGTACCATGAGGGGAATAACGGGGCAACCATGTTACTGGAGGTGGTCAGCCACGACTTCCCAAGGGGAGTTCCATCCAAGCAGAGTCCCACAGGGTAAGGAGAAGAGAAAGTGTGCGCCGGGAGGAGAGAATAATCCTGTGAGGGCCCAGAAACCGGAAAGAGCTTGGTCATCAGGAGGCAGTGAGAAGAACTGGGTGTCTGAGTGAAGCTAGAGAGGCAGGAGGGGAGGGGAGAGGAGGTGAGCAGGGACTCGGGGTCAGCTGGCAGGAGGCGTCCTGGGTGGGGCTTGGGGCAGATGGCTGTGTTCACGCATAGACGGCCCTCACTGGTATTAAAAATGCCATCCTTGGGGCACCTGGGTGGCTCAGTGGGTTAAGCCTCTGCCTTCGGCTCAGGTCATGATCTCAGGGTCCTGGGATCGAGCCCCACATCGGGCTCTCTGTTCAGCAGGGAACCTGCTTCCTCCTCTCTCTCTGCCTGCCTCTCTGCCTGCTTGTGATCTCTGTCTGTCAAATAAATAAATAAAATATTTTTTTTTAAATGCCATCCTTTATGATAAGGGAATGTGTTCTAGTAATCCTGGCTTACAAGTTAACATAGTAATAGTTTAGAGCTGTATAGAATACTGCGTTGTGGTGACCATATTCTCATTACCAAAAATCACATTTTAAAAGTGATTTGAGGGGTGCCTGGGTGGCTCAGTGGGTTAAGCCTCTGCCTTCGGCTCAGGTCATGATCTCAGGGTCCTGGGATCGAGCCCCGTGTCTGGCTCTCTGCTCAGCAGGGAGCCTGCTTCCCCCTCTCTCTCTGCCTGCTTCTCTGCCTACTTGTGATCTCTGTCAACTAAATAAATGAAATCTTAAAAAAAAAATAGTAAAAAAAAATAAAAACGATTTGAATACAAAAGATATTTAGAAGCTAGGGCATTTTAGATTAATAAATTTTTTTTTTTTTTCCTGCAGGAATGTCAAATACCAAACTTTTTAACAGGTCTACATATGACACAGCTCTGAGCCAATCTCCTTTTTGTTTGCATTTCATTTTTGGTCATGATTAGTAGCCTTTTCCCCCTAGAGTGCAGACCTTGTTAGGAGCCGTGGGGAACTGCCTTGTGCAGATACGCTCCCCAACAACCAGACGGTGCATGATCCCACTCTCACTGTGGCCATTGAGTCAGACAAGCGGTGACTGTATTGTACTTTTGACCTGAGAGCACCGTCACCGTTTGAATCCTTTGCTTTTCCACTTTCATAAGATCCTTAAGATACTGTAGTTCTAGAAACAGAAGTACTGCTTGTAGTTTTCAGACAGGGGCTTCGTGAGCGAGCGCACCTTTGATGCGGCTTCGCGGTCTCAGATGTTCACTGAAGCGTCCTGTGAAATGTCAAAATAAGCCCAGGGGTTTGCTGACTTACTTGTGGTCTGATAATCCTAATTGTTAAATGCACGTAATCATCTTTATTTAAAGGATCAAAGAAACCTTCTACCCTGATATTCCAAATCCAGAGAATTGTAAAGCTCTGCAGTTTCAGAAGAGTGTCTGTGAGGTAATCCTCTTTCCTTACATTTATTTGTCAGTACGGGCTGCTTTTTTTAGTCTTTTGTGAGATGTTCGTAACATGCAGATATGTACCCAGCAGAAAATGTGGTGAGCAGAGGGCGTCTTGGACATCTGCTGAGCTTCTGCGCTGATGCATGTTAACGTGTGTTTTTGCTACTGCTGTGAATAGCCGGGAATATTCAGTACCTGTGAAACAGTACCTGTGTTCTCGTATGCAGCACAGAACAGCTAAGACACATTTCCCTAAGTAGCCACGAGGAACATACACGAGATAATGCCCCTTTTTGTAGGAAGGGCACTGCCGCAGCTTCTCGTGCCCCTCTTAATCACTGCCTCATCATTTATTTCTAGGGAAACAGTGCTCTCAAAACATTGGAAATGAATCCTTGTACCCCAAATAATGTTGAGGTTCTGGAAACTCGATCAGTGGTTCCGAAAATAGAAGACACGGAAATAATCTCTCCGGTAGCCGAGCGGCGGGAGGAGAGCTGTGATGCAGACGCCGAGAACCACGTGGTCGTGTCCTACTGCCCCCCTGTCATTGAGGAGGAAACGGCACAGCCGGGCGCCGAGGAGGCCGGAGGGACCTCTCAGGTCGTGTACATAGATATCCAGTCTATGTACCAGCCTCAGGCAAAACCAGAGGAAGATCAAGACAGTGACCCTGTCGGGGGCGCCGGCTATAAGCCCCAGATGCACCTGCCGGTCCCTGCTACTGGGGCAGACCTCGGCGCGGAGGATGACTTAGATAAAACTGCCGGTTACAGACCTCAGGCAAATGTCAATAACTGGAACTTAGTGTCTCCAGACTCTCCCAGGTCCACAGACAGCACCAGTGAAACGGCCTCTTTCGGAAGCCCCTGCTCTGTTAACTCCAGGCAGTTTTTGATCCCTCCTAAAGACGAAGACTCCCCAAAATCGAATGGGGGAGGGTGGTCCTTCACAAACTTCTTTCAGAACAAGCCCAATGACTAACAGCGTCGCCGCGTCACTTCAGTCTGCCATCTCAGTAAGCTCTCCGTTCCGGCGCTCCCGGGCCAGCACTGGGCATCTTGGAGGGATCCTGTGAAGTACTGTTGGCGAGGGGGACCTTCCCGCACGCAAGTCACACTCCCAAGTGTCCCTGTGCTTTCAGTGTAGTCTCACAGCCCAAGTAGAGTCACTCGGATGCGGTCCATGCAGCTCAAGTCTTAGAGCGACCCGTGATCGGAGCCAGAGTTCCCACGTGCTCTCCCTTCAGGAAGCACTTCCCAGCGGATACCGGCCGGTCCGCACACGCAAAACAAGTCCCCCAGCCGCGTGTTCTATTCTGCTCGTGGTTTTCTCATACGGATGCTGTGGAATTGCAAGCCGATTACAGGCACGGGAGAGAGACGTCGGAGTACCAGATGATGTTTATTTGCCTGACACTTGCTCCATTCTAGATGAAAACCAAGCACAGATTTCAGAACTTTCAACATGAATCTCCTCTGTCCACAGCATTTACAAAAAGTTAATATAATTTCTGATGTAGTGACCGCTATGTAGTGTTTTGTTTGATACAAAGTATGCTGATTTCTGTGCCTACTGTATAATGGTTTTCAGACAGTTTTCTCAGGGGTACAAACTTTGAAAATGAGCATGACACTGACCAGCTCAAATTACAATCGTGTTGTCTCTGCTTTGGGAAGATTTGCAAACCTTTTCCTTACCCTGTAGCTTGCATGTGAACTTCCTTTATTGCATTTGGTTGCGCTGACATTTAAGACCGAATTTTCTAAGCCTGGATATCCAAGGTTTTTTTAAAAACTGGTTTTCTTATGACACAGTGTCCATGTTACACGAGCAAATCCAACATTACTGAGAAACAGAATTGCAGTGATTGTTTGAGGGGATGCCTGCGCAGACGCTCACTGCTTTAGCTGTCTGTAGGGTTCCGACTAGCTTCAGCGCCTCCCCAGGACACGGGGCAGTGGTGACCTTTGACACCTCATAGCGAAGGTTCCTTCTGATCAGGCATTTTGGCAGTTTTGCTTTTGAAATGATCATCAGTCTAGACTGTTTAAACACAGTCTTCAAATTCATAAATCTAAAACTTAGAAGGTGATGCCTCCTCCAGGGACAGTTCCTCAAGGGCTGTGGCGTATGGACTGTGGCCAGGTCCGTTTGAATCCGCGGGTGTACCTGTGTCAGCTTTGTGAGCTGTCTGTGACCATGTGTCTTCACAGACGCCGCTGCCTGTCCTTGCTTTTCCTAAGTGATGTCTAGAATGAACGTGGTTTTTGGAAAAGCAGAATGAAAAACTAAAAAGTGTATCTTACACCTTTTCCTTACCCCCATGGATATTTTATTTTTTGGTAGTTAAGGCAAAGTACCAGAAAATTTGAAATACCTGAATACACCAAGATGTGCTTGTTTTGTTTTGTTTTTCTTTAATCCTCTGAGGGTCTGTGATGATAATGGATTGGTTATCCTTTTGTTCTAGGTCCTCATGTTTCTTTATAAAAACCACGTCATGGAAAAAAGCCACAAGGCGACAAGGGCCAAAATCCATTTGGGTACTCTCTGAATCCTGATTTTAATTGCTAGAATTCACCTAAATTCTTGAGCTTCATGATATATGGACACGTGGAATGAAATAGAAACTGAACTAATTATGTTCACATTTGGTAGACGTTAAAACCATGTAATGGCTCCTAGAGATTTTCAGCAGTGAAAAACATCTCAAACCAGATCGTTCCTGACAGTTTGCTACTCTCCTTTTTCCTCTCAGGCTTCTGTCCTCAGCCTGCACCCCAGGTGCTCAGACCTGGGGTTCCCTGCATTCCTGCTGAAGCTTGTCATTTCTATCCCCTCCTGCCCCAGGCTTCTGCCTCGTTCCCCCTAGAAAACCAGTGGATCCCGTACTTCATCTCTTGAGGACAAGTGTTGGCTGGAGTAGAAGTTGGTGGGTCTGAGCTACACTAAACCGAGAATGGGAAAGGTCTAGGAGAGAGTACTGGACCTCTGTCATCAGTATATATTGCATTGCAGCTCTGGTTCCAGTGCCCTTTCTAACCTGCGGAATGATTCATTTGTTTGGCTTACGGTGAATATCACTGGGCTCTGGAGTCCTTTCTCTCCAAGACTCCGTGTCTCTCCTGCATGAGAAAGGATCAGAGTGCTGCTCACCTCTCCCTGCCCCTGGAGTTCATACACAGTGATCCTCACTTGGTGAATGGGAAGCATAACAACACTGTTTGTCTGGGCAAGCTCCTTACAACTTGCTATATACCTAGAAATACGTGGTTTAGGGCTGAGGCCAAGGCAGGTTGCTTGTCCTTCCCCACTGAATTGAAGACCGCTAGACCCACTGTGCAAATCCGAAGTCATTACCTCCCTCCCCACCCCCGTTCCCCACCCTACCTGGGCATGTGGGGGCGGCCTCAACACTGGGAGAGAAGACACTCCCCTTTGTCACATATCCAGTTGTTGGTGGCACTGGAGACCCTGGGTAAATGTGCACTGTTGGTCAATGCCAGGACTGTACTCGGATGTGAAAAGCAGTCGGAATTGGTCATGCTCTGTCCAGTCATTTTAGCTCCTCTGCCTGGGGGAGGGGAAACTAATGGCTAGTTGGAAGGGGAGGTTAGATGTGTTCCCTCAGCCCTTCCCGACTGGCAGAGTAATGGGGAGATGCCCCTTTCCTCAACTAAAGCCTAGTCATTGGTTAGAAAACTCTTTAAGTATCTGGACTCATCTATGCCTCACCATGTCTTTTGAATTGTAGTCTGTCTCAGGACACGTTTTCCTGTCTCGGATTAGCCAGTTCACTTACAAACCGGTTTCAGATCAAGCTTCGCTTGTGGAAAATGGAGATTCTGGTGGTGATTATGACTGCACTTCTCTTGTGAGTGGCCCTCCTAGACAAACAGTACTATAAAAATACTCTTAGAAGACTTAGCTAGATTTCTGACATTAGGTAGAGCTTGTGCATTACATGTGCATGGATTAGTACCCAGATACAGTCGAAGTCATCTGTGTGTTGAATGACAGAATCCTGGATTTGAGATTGTGGCCCTCGGTATCTGGATAGTTGTGTGTTTATGTGCTTTGGTGACAAAGGTGCTGTGTTCCGACAGCTTAGACTCTGAAGCAGCCATTCACGGAAAAGGTTAAGGGCGAAAGGATCAGCCCTGTTTTCCATACCAGCATTACTTCTTGGCTCATGGATCTGAAGGACTGCTTTTAAGAACGTCTGGTACTACCGCACTTGGAAACCGTGGTCAAAGTCACATTGTTAAAACTTGAGGCAACTTGTATTCTTGTGGGAAATCATTAGTCCTGTAATTTCTTAGTTGTCTTCATACAGACCATGTGTAAAGAACATGACAGCCCTCTCTACATTTGAATAATCAGATGTAGGTTAGTGAAGGAGACTAGGGAATATTTTCTTTCAAAAGGAATTTGAAATCAGTTTTTAAATTAAAGTACTCCCTAACATATCAAAATGCAGATGTTATCTCAGATTTTTTGACTGCTCAGGCATATAATCTGATAAGGCTCTTTTTTTCTGTTTAAAGTAATTTTTTTTATTTTCTGTTTCCAACCATTTAAAGTTTGCATACCTTTTATAAAATGCCCTTTTTTTCTTCAAAGTCTAAGCTAGGCATCCCAGAAGTCAAATGTGAGATCATTAGCTAATTCCAAAGACAGCTAGGTACATGGTGGAAATTCAGTGAGTGAGTGTTTATTGACTCCCATTCCAGAATGTGCAGTTTTCCCAAGGGGCGCTTTATACTAGCATCTAGCCTGTGTAGAGCCGAGACTGTTGACTGAAAAGATTGAATCTACTCAAGAAGTAGCTCCAGTTTGGGTGAGAACTTGGGAGAGACTCCGGCAAAGGCGTCACTAGATTTCTTACTCCGCCCTCATCGAGAGGATCCATAGCAACATTTTATTTAATGCGTACAAAACTTGGGATGTGTCTGTACCAACCAGCATTGTTCTAGCAAACCGACAAGACATTGATGTGTGAGCTTAACTATAAGGACTCATGCATTCACTTGATAAACCATTTCTTCAAAGCATTTATTTTAAACTGGTATTTCCCGCTGAAACAAAATCGCAAGGTACCAACGCCCATTCTACCTTACAGATCCAGAAGAAAATTTTTCATAGAAGAAAATGATTTTCTAAACTTACTGGAAATGCATCCTTTAGACAAGACCTTAGAGTATCATTGGAAATCACTGGGTTTAAATTTGGTCTGTTTAGGTCTTTGTGGATTATGTACCAAGGCTATTAATATTTAAACCTCTTATTCCAACAGGGTGGTGAGATTTTTCTTTTCAATTTGTGCCTTTGTCTTAAATATTACATGGTCGTATTCATGCCAGTACAATATGAATGAGCTATTTTTAGTGCCTGTATGGAGGATTAAGAACATTCAGTTAACTGATAGTGCAGGCTTTATTGTGTGTGGTAAAATTCCACAGGCTGTGATTTGATCTAAATATATTCAAATTTCAAAATTACGATACTGAGTTATGACAGGTGTCTGTTATTCTTAACCATGATTAGTGGTTGTTTCTCCCTGTATTAAGAAAGTTATTATTTTGGATTATAAGTGACCAAGTTACAGACAGAATTTAAATTTACCTATGGAAGATAAATTCTAACTGTGCAACATTTTTATGAAAATTAAAAGTAGTGTTTTAAGAGGGAAGCCTTCTGCATGTCTTCGTTACAGGTGCCTAGCTGAACTACAGAAACATTCAAAATCTCTCAAGTAAGCTATCACTGATTAAATATTAACCAAATACAAAACAGTAATAATTTATATTACTTTTTGATTGCTATAACTGACTACCTTAAAAACTCAGAGATGTGATGGGGAAAATTAATATTTCACTGATGAGGAAATTAATTTGTATTACACTTACTATATTTCCTTAAGATTTCTTTTGTAATAACTAATCAGAACTTTAAAAACCCAAACAGCAGCAGACCTTATGCCCTTAAGCCAAAAATACTTCGTATACTTGGTTGAATGGCTTATTTAAATGTTTAGAATTTCCTTACACATTAAAAATACACTTCCCTCCAGAATATTCCATTTTAAAAGTAGGTAATTTCAATTTCTGAACTTACTGTTCCTCCTAAACATTCCGTTTCAGAAAGATTTCTAGGTGGTAATACAATTTGCATTGAAACATGGATTGGTT